TTTTGGAACATTTGGTTCTGTGTTTTTGGCTGGCGTGGCTGCAGGTTTTATTCTAACAAAGGATCTCACATGATCAACAGTTTAAAGACTGGGACCACCTGCTTGGCTGGAAAGAAAACCTGGCCCTTTGCAGATAAGACTGTACACCATTGGTCTACATCATCCGAAGAAGAAAGGACATCAGCCAAAACCTCAGATAAGCAACTGTTGCTGCCCATCAATCTGGGAAGGGTAAAAAGGTCATCTCCAAGCAATCTGAAATTCATAGTTCTACAGTGAGAAGTATTGTTTACAAGTGGAGAGACTTCAACACAGTTGCCAATCTTCCCATAAGTGGGCATCCCAGCAAATTCAGTCCAAGGTCAGATCGATATATATTTAGAGATATGAAGAAAAACCCAAAAGCTACATCATGTGACATTAAATGTTTGTTAATGACAGCAAAATTAGAAAAAAACTGAACAAGTATGAAAAGGGGGCTATGAAAAAGGCCTTTCTCTTCAAAAAGAATATGACTTACATTTGCAAAATTGCAAGTGAACAAACGAAAAAAGGTCTGAAAAAATATCCTTTGGACTGATGAGACCAAGGTGGACATGTTTGGTCATCATACACAGTGGCATGCTTGGCAAAAAACAAACACAGCGTATCACCACAAACACCTCATACCAACTGTCAGGCACGGTGGTGGAGGGATGATGATTTGGGATTGTTTTGCAACCACAGGACCTTGGAAACTTGTAGTCATTAGGACAACAATGAACTCCACTTTAAACCAGAATATTATTAAGACAAATTTGAGGCCATCTGTCCAGCAAAGGCCGAAATATGGCCATGCAACAGGACAATGGGCCTCGTTCACAAACCGTTCTTAAAAAGAAATTTCTTCTTAAAACCCACTTATACAGTTTTTACGCAGATTCTGACATTGACAAATGTTTTCTTATTTGGAATTTGTCCTTAGGTAATAAGAGCACAAAGGTAAGAACAAGTCTGTGGTTTAAGAACATGTCATGAAACTGACGTAGACTTTTTCTTAGGACCTTTCTCAAGAACACATTTAAGAAAAAACTTAGGAACATATTGGTGAATGAGGCCCGATGATCCCGAGCACAGCCGCAAATCAACATCTAAATGGCTAAGGAAGAAAAAAAATCAAGGACTTGGAATGGCCAAGTCAAAGTCCAGGCCTCAAACCTATTGAGATGCTGGGTTGGGATTTTAAGAGAACTGTGTTCAAACATCAACAAACTAAAGTGATGTTGTAAAGAAGGGCCAAAATTTCTCCAACCCAACATGAGAGACTAATAAACTCCAACAGAAAACATTTACCTCAAGTAATTGTTGCTAAAGGTGTTTCTACATCTTACTGAATTGTTGAGTGTACTTATTTTTTCCCAATTTACCTCTGAATGTTGTTTTGTGTTTGTAGTCACCCAATGTTATTTTTTGTTTATAGTAGTTAGTGAGGACCACACAGCTTAGGCCCTGATTAATAAAAACTAAATTGAAGGAGTGTGTACTGTCTTTTTCCCCATGGCTGCACATACAAAGTCATTATTTATAGGGTACTTTTTATTAGGAGGTGGCTGTCCCAAACTGGAACCCCTAAATTTCAGCTTGTAAGAATTTTTTTCATATATTTGGTTTCTTTTAAAGTGAAGTTGAAAGATTTGAATTTAATTTTTAAACATGCTGTATCACTACTATATGAATAAACTTTAACTTTGACTACCTGTAGGCAGAGTCTTATTTTAGCCACATTCCTTTTTAGAGCAGGAAGAGAGACTGCATCCCTGTCCCTCATGGCCACATAGTGACCAGTTAGATCCATTTTTTTTAAGTAAATTAGCGAAAACTATCACTACTGAAACACTTAGTAAAGTTTCGGTCGTGTTATGATCATGTTGATAGTGACAAAATGCAAATGTTCCATCATTTCTTTTAATAAAATAAATATAATTAAGGTATAAGGTCACTCAAAGCAAAAGGATCTCAGTCTAAAGTCCAAGTGTGTTGAGCTACTTTGGTAGAATGACCCATATGTATATTGTCACTGTTGGAACAAAACCTTGTATCTGCTTTTTTTTTGTCTTTTTTACATTTATTTTACAAAACTTTAACATGACACAATAACCATGTGTTAACGTTTATGATGAACACACCAATAGAAATGTTACAAAAGTATTGGGAAAAATATCATTTTCCATTAACTTCCAATTTTTAATTTTAATGCAATTTTCATGTAAACAGTCACTTGGGTCACTTACTGCAAGATTTCAAACAAGCTGGGAAATGTTGAGCTGTTTGTGACAGCTAGTAAATTGGGAAAATTGCAAAAATCTCCAAAACAACCTGAGTGGTTGTAATGTGTGCATGCAGCAATTTGTCACTAATCTGGGGAACAATCAGGGCTAAAGTAACGTAGTGTGCACTCAGCAGACAAACAGCCGGAACCCAGCCCAAACTGGAGGCACTGAAAGCAGATTAAGAGGTGAAAACAGAACAGAATTGTCGGTGTCCACCCAGGGTGTCAGTGAGGACAGAGGCAGCAGCAAAAACAGCCACAGTGGGTGACACTGGCTGACGTATCTATTCAGGACGCAGTCAGTGGCTGCAAAGAGCTGTCAATGAGAGAAAGATATTAGCGCCACATTAAGAGCAAATGGCTTTGAACCGTCCATCACCCTCAACCAGAGTGATGGCCCTCGTCCAAATGAGCACTTTTTTCCAGGAAGATTTGCATCAGTTTCAGCATTCCTGTTATTGGCACTTCAATGTGGCCACAATCAGACTCTCGAAATTACATGCTAACTGAAAAAAAAAGAGAGAGAGAGAGAGAGAGAGAGAAACAGCAAGTGAAAGATTTTTAATTTAGTTTCTTTGTACCACCCCGAGTGTAAACGCTAAAGGAAAAGTGGAATGAGAGAAGCCCCTGGCACAATAATGACTTCAATTCCTGAAGCCTCCCAGTGGCTGTAAAGCAATGCCATCTGAAAGAACTAACGGGTAATGATATATAAGGTAATTAAATTAGAGCACTGCAGAGGGACAGGGCAGGGGAGGAGAGAGAGAAGGGGACAGTGAGAGAGACTGAGGGTGACTGAGATGAAAGATGAATAGTCTTCACCAACAGTGATTCTTATGCTTTTTGTCTTCTCTGCTGCAGTTTTAATGTATCCAGTAGATTTTATGATGATGTAATAAAACAGTTAAGCAGATTGGAAGAAGCATGTCCTCCTCTTTCCATTACTGAATCTTCAGCCTTGAGTCCACTAACTACATGAGGAAAAAAAAGAGAGCGAGAGAAAGAGAGACAGAAATAGAGAGAGAAAGAGAGAGAAAGAGTGTATTAATGACGTATTGAATACCTGCTGGCCTTGTGTGACTCCCTCTTGTGGGTGTTGTTTTATTGAAGAGGAGAGACGAGAAGAGAAGAGACAAGAAGGGAAGAGAAAAGTGATGAAAAGAAATGAAAGGATATGAGAAGAAAAAATGAGAAGAGAAGAAAAGAGAAGAAAGAAGAAATTATGAAAAGTGAAAAGAACAAAGGAGAAGAGAAAAAAGGAGAAGAGGAGAGAAGAAGAAAGGAGAAGTGATGAAAAGAAAAGAGAAGAAAGGAGAGAGGAAGAAAAAAGGAGAAGAGAAGAAGAAAGGAGAAGTGATGAAAAGAGAAGAGAAGAGAAGAGAAGAGAAGAGAAGAGAAGAGAAAGGAAAGGGAGGCAAAGTAGATGCAGGCTGAGAGTGCTGCCTGCACCGCAATAACCTGCTGTCCACCTATAAATATGTATATAATCTAATATCTCCTTCACTGCATTCAGAAATCACTCCTGAGTCCCGCTGGAATATGGAAATATGAACTGACAGCCGTGGAGAAGAGGAGACCCGACACCTTGGGGGAGAGCACATAATTAAACAAGCAGACTAATGAGTAAACATGCTCTGCTCTTTCGCCCTTAAAGCCCAACGCCAGACCCCCAGTGGCGGAGCTGCAGACTATACTTCCCATAAGCCACCTGGCATATGTCTCATCAGACTGCATCACTGTTGCTAGGAGCCATACCATTCTGCGACCAGTTTAAAACTGAAATCGTACAGACAAAATTCAGGTTTCAAGATTCCTGCTACTACTGAATTTAGCTATGCAATGTACTTATATCAGTTTTTATAGTTAATAATGTGCCATACAGTGTTAGAAACCTCTCAGCACAAGTCTATTCGAGATTACCTAACAGCTCAACAGTTTAGTAGAGTCAAGGCTGAAGGCTTAGATATGCAGCTTTGGACACATTTTGGACACCAAACATGCCTTGGCTAATCATTTGGTATGAAGATAAAATTATGTGAATTTGATTGTTTTTAATTCATTTGGTCTTTTTATTCAAGCTCCCATCAGCACCTACAACTCCTCAGAGTGCTGTAGCTGGACTGAAGCAGGTGAACCCTGACCTGTGCATGTATCTGTGTATATGAAACTGAATGTGACTAAGAGAGAAAGAGAAAAACGGAAACAGAAAGAAAAGGTCCTGGAAGGCTGTTGGCCAAAGCTGATATTTCAACATGATAATATCCAACAGTGCCCTAGGTGAGAAGCACTCATTAACGGTATCACCTTTTCACAAGTTGTTAAGTTAAATTTCCGCATTATGTAACTCCTTGGCAGGTCAGTCCTTGCTGGTGCTGCGTTCCACATTCTTGAGACATGTTATGGGTAACTTACATAATCTCAGACAAAAGATATACTAAGCTGACCTGGAACTCCACTTCCAGGGAGAGGATGTCTCCCATATCGACCCAAGGTGCTGGGTTCTTTGAAAAGATATGTTACCGTATAAGCATGGCCCAGAAATCTGAGATGCAGTCAAAGACAGAATGGTATATCCTCACGTCAGAACAGTGTATGACATAATACTTTGCAGATGGATTACTCAGAAAACAAAAACACAAAAAACAGAACAAAACAGTATCGAATAGAACAGAATAGAATGTCAGACACTTACATCTGGACTTGTCCACTTGGTCTTGATCTTCTCTGACATTTCTTGAGTACATGCTAGCAGGTCTATTCCCTCTTTACTCTGTTTGAGAGAGAGAGAGAGAGAGAAAGAAAGAGAGAGAGAGAGAGAGAGAGAGAGAGAGAGAGGCAGTGAGCGTAATTTGACTTCTTTAAAGCAAACAAACCATCAGCTTTTACTCTGTACAGATATACACTAAAACACTATGTGGCCAATAATATGTGGACAGTAAAGTTTGACGAAGGCATGGAAGGACAATGGTCTGGGTTGTTCTTCAGGGATTGGGCTCGGTCTCTTAATTCCAGTGAAGGGTAATGTCAGTGTTAGTACATACAGACATTTTAGACAACTCTATGCTTCCAACTTTGTGGTAAAAGTCCCTTTCCTGTTCCAGCATGGTTGTGCCCCTGTGCACAAAGACGTCCATAAAGACATGGTTTGATGAGCCTGGTGTGGAGGAGCTCCAGTGGTCTGCACAGAGCCCTGACATCAACCCAACTGAACATCTTTAGGATTAACTGAAACACTGACTGTGGGTCAGGCCTTTTTGTGCAACATCAGTGCTTGACCTCACAAATGCTCTTTTGACCGAATAGGCACAAAGTCCCACAGACACACTCCTAAATCTTGCAGAAAGCCTTCACAGAACAGGGGATGCTGTTATAGCCACAAAAGGGGGGGTCAACTCCATATAAATGCCTCATATGAAATGTCTCATATAGGTGTGCCGATACTTTTGGCCACGTTGTGTATTTAGTTAACCAAATTCCAAGACCCAGATTAAGTCTAAGCCTAGACTAAAAGTAACCGCCAATGGTCATTCACCTTTGGCACTGCAATTCAGGCCAAAACGAGCCTTAATCCATGTCCAGGAAGCTGTCCCTGTATGTCACTCAGCACACACTTTTTTGAGAGGAAGGCTTTTTTTCACTAAGGCAGTGACAAACCATGCTTTGCCCTCTACACAAGACAGCAAATCAAGCTGCGATTTTCCTCCGTCTAATGTTCACAGTTTCTATGCTGTCTAAATGGAAGGACTGAGGGCATATTTCTCAGTAACAGATTAAGCCGAGTTAAAGACTGCAAAGAAATCACACAGTCAGTGGGAACATCTCATTTAGATCTTAGTAAGCTGTATTTGTATGGTTTTCCATTAAACACATAGTGGGGATGAGTAATGAGTTTATTACGAGCTCACATCTGTGTCCCCATTACACCATTCTGCTTAAAACACATGGTGAAAACATTTTTTTTCCTCTGCAGGCTGAGGTTATCTTAGGCCATGCAGTTCCTCAAGAAGGTATTCCATTTAAGACAACATAGTTGTACAGTGAAAGATGGTTTGACTGATGTGCATGTGTTTGTTTATTTTTCTATAAAATTTCACTGGGAAAACACTGTAACATGCATGACTATATATTAACTCTTTTAAATTTAATGTATTCAGACAATATGCTCACCTTCCATTTACATATAAAGAGCAATGTATACTTCTACTCACTCTGCATTTGCAGACAAGTGACAAATAAAAAGAAAAAATAACATTCAAGTTTCTTAGACATTGCCAGAAGAGCTTCAATGTGCACTAGCATGCATTAAGTATTGGAAGAGGTGGAATGCCATTCTTCCAAAAAATATTCCCTCAGTTGGTGCTTTTTATGATGGTGGTGGAGAGCGCTATTCAACATGTCGCTCTAAAAGCTCCCAAGGGTGTTAAACTGAGTGGAGATCTGGGGACTGTGAAGGCCACAGAATTTGATTTAAATCATTTTCATACTCATAAAACCATTCAGTGGCCCCTCGTGCCCAATGAATGGGGGCACTGTCATCCTGGAAAAGACCACTCTCTTCAGAATAGAAATGTTTCCTCATAGGATAAAAATGGTCAGTCAGAATAACTTTGTATTACTTTGCAGTGACCCTTCAAGTGGACCCTTCAAAATGCCCCACCCAGAATAACAGAGCCACCAGAACCCCTCACTGTAGGGGTCAACCATTCACGCCTGTACTACTTGCTCACTTATGGAGAATATAGTGAAGAATGACTCATCTGACCGTATCACTGTTTTTCACATCTCTGAAGACCAGTGCCTATTGTTTTGGACCACTGAGCTCTTAAATGTGCATTCATGTTTGTAATGAGAGGTTTATGCACTGCTATACAACCATACTACAACATCTTTGTAGGCAGGCTGCTCATGCTGACACAGTCTAATCACGTCCTGCATTGACATTCTCAGTCACCCGAGGAACAGCTGCTCTTTTGTTTTCGTTTTTCCTTACATATCGCACTAATGCATAAGCATCACGCTCACTGAATGTACGCTATCGACCACAAACGTTGACCCTATTTGTTGATGTCTTTCTCATAGATCTAAATGCAGATGTCACTTTAGTCACTGTTCCTATTGAAATACTAGCCAGTTGAGCAGTGTTTGTGACTGAAGCTCCTGCCATCTGTGCCCCAAATATGAACTCTATTTCAAAGTCACTTAGATTGCCACTTTGATCCAAAATCAAGGTGAACTGGGCCTGTTCAGCATTTTTGCACATGCCACAGAGCATAGTAGGATGTTAACTTCTCAGTTAGTATCATGCAGTGTCCAGAAGCATCTGCACTTGTTAGGTTTTTTCACTAATTTATTCTGGTTTTTTCTTTAAGTTGTCACCTCTCCAGCCCTTACAGGTCAACTATATAGGAACAGGAACCAGTCACTACTTAGCAACCGTCTCTAAGCGCTACCACTACCATTAACCACTAAATGAAGGTAAAAACTCCACCAAACTGCCCAGAACAAACCTGCAGTGAGAATGGCGATGGCAGTAAATGATTATTAAATTATTAGGATAAGAATTGTGAAAAGTTGTTGCTGAATAATGTGTAGCTCTGACACACGTTATCCTGATTATCTGGAGGGTTGTGCTGTTCTTATTTCATAAGCCATGGCCCATGCTGCTGCAGGAAGTTTAGGGGGTGTGGCCATGCAAAGTGGCTCTCGGGATGCACCACAACCACAACTGTTGGTTTAATGGTAGTTGTGTTTATTGGAATAATCATATCCAAAAAGGGTGGGCTTTGTAGTTAACTACTAGTTAGAAGTGTCTACCCTCCTTGAATGTCATGCCCTCTTGCATTACCCCCTCCCTGTGTTTCATGTTAGCATAGCACTAGGCTGGGTATTTCGCTGTATGCTAAAGTGCCTGAATAAAAACAAAAGAAAAGAGCATTTGCCCGTATACGCTGTGTCGTCCAATTCTTCTGTCCCGGCGTTACAGTATTAAATTTCAGTTCGGTGACTTCTCAATGGCATGACTACAAATAGGCTTCATCTTTTTCTTTATCTTGGTTGCTGTTTTTGCTAAAAAATCATTTTAATATGATGTCTAATGATATATTGCACAACAGAGTTAAAATCAATGTTAAGATAGCCTTTCTGAGCTTAGCTGCTGACAGTCAGATTATTTAGATTAAACAGGACTAGAGTCACAGGTGTGACTAAAATGCTGTTTTGTAGATAAATATTAATGCGATGCTTTGAATTTTTTGAGATGTGCTTAAAAAACCTTGAGTAAAAGATGACATAACTGGAGTTTGACCTTCTAATCTGTTTTGTAGGTGATATCTGTTCAATTAGTTTGCACATTCAGAATGTACCTTTCAGCAAAATTATAAGAAAATATACACATTTATGAGAAGATGTTCATGTAATATTGGCCTACTAATCTGATTTTTTTTGGAGTGCAATATGGCCCCTGCGACCCAGAAGGATAAGCTGTTTAGAAAATGTGTGTGTGTCTGTGTGTCTGCAATATGGCCCATTACCATAAATGAGTTTGACACTACTGTTCTAGGCAATCCGTTCAGCTCGGTCTCACCTTCTGCCACATGTAGGCCTCTCTGAGTGTGATGATTTCATGTTCTCGATGCTCTCCTTGCACAGCACACACCACACACACAATCTTCTCATCCTGTTTACAGTAGAGTGACCCCTCCTGGCCATGCTCCTTACACCTCAGTCTCTCTACGGTCACTGTGTCCCTCTTTCCTGCCTCCGATCCACACTGCTGCTCCTCTTCCTCTGGATCCCGGCCTCCGCCCCCAGCAGCCTCTGCCCCCTCTAGCCCGTTATCGGCCACCTCAGCCTGGCCATGGCCGTCCACTCTCTGGGCCAGTTGCAGAGGCTGTTCTGTGGGGCAGTAGGGCTGAAGCTGGTGTCTGGTGCTGCGAGTGTGTTTATCTGCATGGACTGGACAGAAGGCGAAGCGGCATAGGGCACACATCTGCGTGGCCGGCTGTGGCTCGTCCGGCTCGCACGCATCACACGTGCCATCCATCTGAGGCAGGTCGTCCTCATCGCAGCTATCCCAGCATGCTCCTGGAGGGTTCATGGTGCAGGGAAACAGAGAGAGAGAGGATCCCAGGGGAGTCTAGAGGCAGATAAAGGACAACATAAAAATAGCCCCAGCTCAGGACACACTGTAAGCACATGACTGTGGTAGCTTTCCTCAGCTTTGCTGAGGCCTGCTGCACTAAATCACTCTCTAACCACCCCCTGTTCTCCACTTCTAACGGAAGCAGAAAGCAAGTGAAATTGTAAACAAAGCCCTCCAGCTGACTTTCTGAGCAGTGTACATATGACCACACTGATAGTGGAAACAGCAAACACACTGAAAACATGCTAACAATGCACACACAAACACACAGGTAATGCACTGCTGACATTAGCCTATTGAACTGAATTGAATTTTTTTTGGACTAAAAGAAATTGCCCAAAATTACAAAAAAATAAACACAAAAATTGGTGTTCCATTAACTTACATTCAAATTTAAGAATGTTTTCCCTTTTCCTATAAAACTACCATTTTGGAGATGAGGCTTTCTACCATTGCTGTGGAAAATGCTAAAGCAATTCCAAAGCCATTAACATGAGATCAAAATAAGATCCACCAAAATTTGATGTGTTTATTTTTCATTCTATTCCCAAATTACCCAACAAAAACTACAATAACTCTTATATTTTAATTTTTATTTTAGTGAATTTTAGTCAGTCATTCACATTTTAGTATTCAGTGGTTTTGAAATAAAACAACAACATGAGTGCAATATTTATAATGTTCTATATACATTGTGCCTCTGAAACTAACGTGGCAGTAGACTATACTGTAGGAAGGCTCAGATTTTAGTAATTTGGTCAGTGGTGTTACAACTTTACTGATGTTGTTAAATATAATAAACTACATTTTGCACTTGAATTACAAATCAGCTTTAGTACCCAGTTTGTCACCAATGTTAGAATGAAGCTGATATAAGACTTTGTCCTGATGTCAATATATAACATCAACACAACTCTGTCTTTCAGTTTACTTACCTTGCAATGCAATGCAATGTATTTACGTATAAATGTTGTTCACACTTAAACTCATTGCATTGCTTCTTTCAGTGTGGTCCTGAAAGCCCCCTGTTCTACACAGTTTGGTGTTTTCCCTGCTAAACACTCTAATTAGCCAATTAATGAGCCCTTCCTGAGCTGGAGTTGGTGCGCTAAAGCAGGGAAAACACCAAAAACATGCAGGCCAGGGGTACAGCAGGACACTCACATTAGCTCACTCATACATTCTTTTATTCTGCAACTTGAGAGCACATATGCAGGCACTGGTCATAAGCAGAAACCCCCTATAAAGCCCTCTCCCACACGCTGGCTCCTCCTCCGGGTGTCCAGCGTCAGGTCCTGACCTTCCTTATACACCACTCGCTCCTGTTTGACATTCCTCTCCCTCCCCTTTCTCTATCCCTCTGCAGGACAGCAACGAAAGAATAGAGACGACCTGCTTTCCTACCCATTCACACAGCACAGCATGAATATCCCTCTCTACCAGTACATCTCTCTCTCTCTCATACATACTCTCTCTCTCAGGCCTGACCCTCTTAACCGAGTGCTCTTACAAGTCTGCAACATGCAGATACTCTGGGCCTCTCTCTCTCTCTCTCTCTTACACACACACACACACACACACACACAAACACACACACACACACACACATACACACTCACAGTGTTTTCTCCCCTCTTGCTGGGTGTCCGTGAGCTCTAATCCTCTGTGTGTCTGAAACACAGCTGCAGTTCTCTCTGTCTCTCTCTCTCTGAAGGGTTATTGGGACAGAGCAGGCTAACACTACAGCAGCTAGCTCTTCCTTAGCATGGCTCTGGCCTGATCTGCTTTCTCTTTCCCTTCCCAGCTCAGCTCAGCTCGCCTCCCTCCACTTCCTTGTTTTGCTCAGTGCTCTGCTGCTATTTTTTTTTCACAACTTCCTGTTTCTGCAGCAGGAGCCGGAGAGCTGAAAGAGAGCAAGAGAGAGAGAGAGAGAGAGAAAGAGAGAGACGGGTTACGGCACAACACATCTGTGAGTGTGAGTGAGTGAGAGAGAGTTAGAGTGTGTGTGAGAGAGAGAGAGAGAGAGAGAGAGAGAGTGTATACCATCTGTGTGTGAGAGGGGGTGGTGGGGAGGGGAGGCTGTCTGGCAGCAAAACCAAACTGGATCGGTAGGTTATGAAGCAGCAAGTAGTTCCAGTTCTTTTGCTCTTATGCTGAAGCGCTGGCAACCGAATGTAACACAGCAATGGCTGCGATTAGCTTCTGACCCTTTATGTAGCGCAGACTGCTCTCATTATGGTATCAGCGAAATAGGATGTTCAATATACAGGGTGTCCCAAAAAAACTGACATCATTTGAGATGTGAATATCTGAGTAACTACATGTCCAAGGCCAACGAAATGGCTTCATGTTGAACGAAACAAGATTTAATTATCAAAATTCGAACAAGAAATTCAGAGGGATGTAGATTTTATAATCGATTTCACAAAGCTTCACAAATGTAATATTTTCCGATACTGGTGGTCGTCCAGATCCCTTTGCCCTGCACAGACAGCCTTCCTCTTTGATTTTTTTGTGCCATGTCCAAATCTGCTTTCCAGATGGTACATTTTTATTGAATTTTCTCGTAAATGCCCGCCGCACACTCTTGTTTGACTGTGTTCGAGCATATTCTAACACACAAAATGCCTTTTCATTTCTAGTGAACGCCATTCTTCAACCTGACATTACAAATTAAACTTGGTTAGTTTTTACGCAGTTTGTTAAAATTTGAGATCATCTGAGGGAGAATTGGCTGTTATTAGACTTTGAAATGATGTCAATTTTTTTGGGACACCCTGTAAGAAGAGGCCATCTACATTTTTCTTGTGTTTTATGCTTGTGTGGGCTTTTTTGTACCCAAAACAACCATAATTCATTATTTTTACATGACCGTTTTCCAAATCTCTTAGAATTAAACAGGCTGTTTAATACCAGGGATTGAATGGTACATTTTGAATCTTTAAAGGGGAACTCCACTGATTTTTCAAAAAATCTACATAATTAAATAATTAAGATGTAAACAAAGTCATTCAGAGTGGTTTGGTGTGAAATGCTCCCTTCAAGAGAAACTTACAGAGTCAGAATTGTTCACAGTGGTGGTGATGGGAACCAGACGTCCACCTCTAAAAGCTCCCTCACAGAAAGTTATTTCATGAAATGGTTATGAATACACTGTCTGATGTCTGACGATAGTTTTGTGATCAAGTTTTGGCCTAAAAATATTTTAATCAATTTATTTTATCTATTCATGCTGGAGTGATACATGAAAGGAAAGGGATTGAAAGGCAAATTAGTCCCAAAAGTGATCTGATTTTTTCAGATGTATGACTCTTTTACCAAAATCAATGTTCCATATAAAACTTAGGAGACGTGTAGTTTTAAATAGTAAATAAAATGGCTATATTTGTGTTGTAGACATGGTGACCCCTGATTCTTATCACCACCACTGTAAAGAAATTTGAGTCTTTATAGTGAAATATTTCACAACAAACCACCCTGAATGACTTTACATCTCAACCACTGAATATGGTGAAATTTTGAAAAATTCCCCTTTAAAATCCAACTCCTTAAGGAAGCCATATCAATTTTTATGAGTTTTAAATTCATTTGTGTGGGTTTTGTAACAAAACAGTCATAGTTCATCTTTACATGAACATTATTAACCTTTATTTATCCCTTACAAATGTTTGTTACTGTGACTTTTGTTCTGAACATTTATGTTAGGTAATGTAGCAATACCTTATTTCAAGTGATTTCTGTTTTGATATTCAGCAGGAAAAGCCAGTCAATCATCTGTAAGTTTATCTTCTTAAATCTGCTTATAATAATTCAAAAATCAATTACTTTTTTAGTTTCTACAAAACGTAAGGAGAAGTAATTTAAATTCCAGTAAGTAGTGGGACAGGTTTGGCTGAGAATTGAGGACGTCTGTTTGTGAATAAAGAATTTAGCACATAGAATGAAGAACTAATCTAGGGGCTTATTAGTGGAGTTAGTGTCAGAACAAATAACATCTTTAAGGTTAAAGGAGTAAATAACTTTGACAGGGTTGAAAATGTGAGCACATAAGGTGGACCATAATCTATTAGTTATCTCACACTGAAATAGTAATAATGAATGTTTCATCAACAGATCCACAAAAGGATCCACAAAAAGAGCAAAAGCTATCAATGTGTATAAATTTGGAAATGACAGATTTCACAGGGTGTATCTTATGTAAAATTTTAAAATGAATTTCTTTGACCTTATTGCACATACAATATTCATGAGGCAAAAGCCAGGCTCTTTTCCAATTTATGTCCTCAATAAAGGACATCCAATAGAATTTACCCCTAGGAGAAATTCTGTTAGAATATTAGAATATATCTAATATGCTTATTATCAAATTTTTTTATTGTGTATACTTTCATCATGAATGCTCACACATTAAATAGGTTTTATGTGACAGCGACGGTACATGAAAACCCTCTGTTCTTACTGACTGCCTTGTATTGTGCCACATTCAAAAAACCGTCTAGGCTGAAACACTTATGACGTCAGTGCGATTGGGTGGAGTTCAAGTGTTGTAGGTATTTGACCAAACAATGATTTGAAAACAATGAATTGTTTTTGAAGCTTATTTTCTATATATGAATCACATGAACTGGGGAAAACATATATATGTTATAAACATATATATATATATATGTGTATAAATATACACACCAATCAGGCATAACATTATGACCACCTCCTTGTTTCTACGCTCATTGTCCTTTTTATCAGCTCCTCTTACTATATAGGTGCACTTTGTAGTTCTACAATTACAGACTGTAGTCCATCTGTTTCTCTGCATACTTTGTTAGCCCCCTTTTACCCTGTTCTTCAGTGGTCAGGACCCTCATGGACCCTCACAGAGCAGGTACTATTTGAGTGGTGGATCATTCTCAGCACTGCAGTAACACTGACGTGGTGGTGGTAGTGTGTGTCGTGATGGTACGAGTGGATCAGACACAGCAGTGCTGCTAGAGTTTTTAAACACTGTGTCCACTCACTGTCCACTCTATTAGTCACTAGTCAGAGATGATAGCTCATCTGCTGCTGCACAGTTTGTGTTGGTCATCCTCTAGTCCTTCATCAGTGGTCACAGGACGCTGCCCACAGGACACTGTTGGCTGGATATTTTTGATTGGTGGACTATTTCCAGTCCAGCAGTGACACTGAGGTGTTTAAAAACTCCAGCAGCACTGCTGTGTCTGATCCACTCAGACCAGCGCAAAACACACTAACACACCATCACCACATTATTGTCACTGCAGTGCTGAGAATGATCCACCCAAATAGTACCTGCTCTGTGAGGGTCCGTGGAGGTCCTGACCACTGAAGAACAGGGTAAAAGGGGGCTAAGAAAGTATGCATATATATATATATATATATATGTACATAAAAAAATTCAGTTGGTTGATTTAGGGCAGGTTTATCTGGCTTTATAGCACAAACACAAACTGTTCATTTTCATCTAAAATACTACACTTTATTATGAGCCCCAACTGGGCAACCAGACATGAATTTCTAGATTTGCTATTTCTCTTGTATTCCAGCCTCACAGAGCCATGTTGCTGCTTCCATATGAACAAGTGGCTAGGTAATTGTTACTGAAGATCAGTTCTGATGCTGAGAAAATGTTTTACTTTCAGCTAATTATATGTCAGTACATATAACTGTAACACCAATAAAGCAATTCACTTTTAGCTTTTTTTTACAAAAGATCTGAATGTGTCTGTATGTGCATTATCTCCTCAACACCTCATAGAAAGTGTTCAATATGCTTTGCAGTACAAATGTATGTATATATCTTGAAGTATAAACAAAAGGCCAAACAGATGCACACAAATGCAAGCATTTATGCATACAAAAGTGCACATTTGTTTGTTTGTTTTCTGACCTATTCTGTAATGGTTCAGATGAAAGAAACGGATTCTTGCTAATTAAATTCCAGCCACGACCTGAAGGGTACAAGCGCATATGACGTTATGTACCACCACTCTGTTTCTAAATAAATAGTATTTGGACTGCAAATTATAATGCCAAGAATAGCACACGTTTGTGTGTTCTGACCCGTTATGACAGTTGAGAATGTACCCTGGCTGGAAAGCTTAACAAACAAACAAAGGAAAAACAAGTGATGCGTACACACACACACATACACATGCTGTTGTCCTCTACTGTGTCCCCTAAAACCAGGACAGTTCTACAACTGCTCTTTTCCACTTCGACCTGCAACTGACATTTCAGAGGGATCATAAAAGCTGAATCAATATGCTTCAGTGAGAGAGCGTGCGCAAGAGAGAGAGACATGTCAGGCCAGATCAGACAGGGCTGTATGATGGACAACAGCTCATGCCATCTGCAGATATCAAAGTATCCGTGATCTTTAGCGTGCCACTGGCAGCGGTTGTGATTTAAGACTGCCCCGATCCCCACAGGAGCAGGAGGAGTATGCTTAAATCATTTCAGGTCATTACTCTCTTACAATTCATTATCTCCTAATATCACAACTAGCCAAGTCTGCCTTTTCACTTTTTTACTTATCTTCCCAGAGCGGGCAGCCGTATTTTCACATACCATCAGTAGGCTCTAATGCTAAATTTAAACCTTGAAAGACTCACTTACACGTAAGTGAAGATTTACATATAGTCATGCACAGATGACAGTCTTAATCCACTTTAATATGATCATTTTACCGCCACTCTTTATCCCTTAGGCCCAGACAGGGTACTTTTGTTATTGTGCATTTAAGAGTTATATATGTGAATGATCTCTGTCTCTGATCTCTTTGGCTAAGCTGTATTGTGCCTCATTCAGAAAGCAGTTCAGGCTGAACCACTCTTCAAAACTTTACCATGAACAGGTGGGGCTAAACTGCTGTAGGCTTGATAGGACAGTATGTGTAAATGCTTTT